AAAAACTGAGTGTTTACTGGCACAACCATGCAACAGATTATGTCAAGGGGAGATGAGTTTCAGACTTCACTGTTCTAACAAAAATAATAAGCTATGAAATGACAAAAATGAATCCCTAAATTATTGTTCACTCATTTTAGGTTAAACTTTTCTTTTACCATGTTTGCCTTCCTATGTGTTAGAATCTACAGAAACTATTATATTTCTTTTTTAGCTGAATAATTATATATAAAAATATAATATTATCCCAGGTTTAGTAATTTCCCTCCTAATCCAGGCTTATAATTGCTTATTGCTTTCTACCACATTGTATTTGCATAGATATAATAAAACATTTTAAAATACAAATTAATTTTGAAATATTTGCAATATATGTATGCTGGGATTTGCCCCAAATTGTGTCATGTTAGCAGGCATATTATACTTTAGCATCTTGAGGAGAGAATCTGGTAGACGCTTCCATTCAGGGTTGGTTAGTTCATTTATATGGATAGAATGGAGATGCTGGCTGTAGATTCCAACAATGAAGGGATTCACAGAGGCATTACTATGATGTGTGGTTAGTGCCTAGAATGGCCCCAAACCAGTCAAAATTGGAAACTTCAAATGAGAGAAGAGAAACAATATAGAAGGTGAAGAAGGTGACCAGTAGCAGGAAGACTAGCAGATAGACACTGAGTGATACAGACAGAAGGAGACTCACTGGCACAATTTTATAGCTGAGTTTGAAGGGAAGCTTCATAAACCATTGTGGCAAAATCCCCAGAGCTTCCTCATACCCAAACTGGCCCTCCAGGTCTGATCTTTCGGAGCCCGTCCTATTATGTTTCCCATCTTGGATTTCCATGAGATTCTGACTCTCTTATTGCCCCATTTACGATACCCCATCACCTCCTAATTTTCTTGCCTAAATAGAGTACATCTCTGTTCTTCACATTTTGGGGGGAAAAGGGATAGGAAGCAGAGGAAACAGTGAGGGAAGACAGACCCTGAACATGTACCCTAGTTCTAGATTCCAGTCCAGAACACTCGTTCTGGCCAAAGATTCCTTACTTGGTGGCAGACTTAGACTGGAAAAATTGATCAAAGGAAGACAAACCAACTCTATGGAACTAGAAATCTGGAGGATTATTAATAGTAGGAAAACAGGGTTTCTTTTGTAGAAATGTGTGTAAAATCATAGAAGCCCAATAGAAATGTGTTCATGATCGACAAATTCTCAGAAAACCACACCTCAGAACTTTTGTTCTGCTCAAAAATTTTGCACCAGTCATGGTTGGACTGAAATACTAGGAGACTGGCTCCAAAACCTCATATAGAGATATGATATATTCTATATTGATATATTATATGATCTGGGGCTTACTATTTGATCTCATGCTTTTTATGGACAGAGCTCTGAAACAACTGCTGAATATTTCAAAATATGCCCTGTAAGTATTCAACACAGACGTATGGATTGCCTGATTTATTCTGAGGGTCCTGCTAACAGTGACAAAGAAAAACTGGAAACATGAACATTATTTGTACTCTTTCAGCACTTTGAATGCATCTCTCTAGTTATAGTTCTATCACAGATTGATGAGGGCAAGAAAACCTGCCCACTGGCCCTCAGGAGGAAGAAATAACCTCCGGAAGAACACAGTAAGCCATGACTGGGAAAAGGCTGTGAGGCTGGAGGTTGAAAGCACCTGCCTTAAACTTCTTGGGCTGATTTTAAATCTTTGCTTAGGACCATCAAGGTAGGACTGTGGTCTTCCAGTTGGGACAAGGTAGAGACGGCAGCATAGTTTATGAACCTCCACAAATCCCCTTACCAGTAAGGCAGAATAGCTAGGACAGCAAAAAGAAAGTGCCATACACCAAAGCAGGATCTGCTAGGGTGGCCTGAAAGATATCAGAAATATAGAAAATATGCCACTAAAATCCCTCCCACAAACATAGAGTTCCATTCTGAGGAAGAAAGGAACAGTCAGTAGAAATGAAATCGAGCAGGGTAGCAACGAGAAAGTTTTAAGAGAAAGTCTGAATCCTGGTGGGAAAGGGGATGGCAGGTAGCAAATCTTGGAAATCACTGCAGAGGTTGCTCTAGAGAGATGAAGAATTTTAACTACTTCCCTTTCAATGCCTTCAAGAGATGAAGTTAGGAAGGCTCCCCCCGTCCACCGCCAGCCCAATATGGGGATCTTCCCGGAAAAACATTTAATTTAAGCATGTATGACACAAAAAAACTGCAAATAAACCCCATATGATAATGTTATGAGACGAGAGCGCTGAACACCATACTTACAGAAAACAAAAGGATGTCAGAAAAATATGACTTCAAAATGGATAGAAACTCAACATTTCAAAGAAATGAGGGAAATGATAGAAACTATGAAAAAGCAGCACAGAAAAACTTTTTAAAGGTTTATTTATTTGAGAGAGAGAGAGAGAGTGTGTGTGAGTGCGTGCATGCACGCGCGTGCACGTGTGCGCGCCCCCCTCCATGCACGCACACACACGAATTGGGGGAGGGGAAGAGGGAGAGAATCTCCAGCAGACTCCCCGCTGAGATCATGACCTGAGCTGAAACCAAGAGTCCAATACTTAACTGACTGAGCCACCTACGTGCCCCCGGAGGAAAAAAAAAAAAACAAAAAACTTTTCAAATGTTCAGCTTCCTTCTCTAAGAATTCAATCTAAAAGCCATTTGGGGGGCGCCTGGGTGGCTCAGTCGTTAAGCATCTGCCTTCGGCTCAGGTCACGATCCCGGGGTCCTGGGATCGAGCCCCACATCAGGCTCCCTGCTCAGTGGGAAGCCTGCTTCTCCCTCTCCCACTGCCCCTGCTTGTGTTCCCTCTCTTGCTGTGTGTCTCTCTCTCTGTCAAATAAATAAATAAAATCTTTTAAAAAAATAAATAAAATAAAAGCCATTTGGGCTGAGCAAGGTAGATCTCCATGAAGGAGGTTACTGGGTAAAGGCACAACATAGACGATTGGAAGCCCAAGTGGGTGAGGACAACGTCCACGCACTCTGGTGCAGATTGTCAGAGTCTGCTATGGCGAGGAGGGTGTCCCTGCTGAGTGCTGTGGTGGTAGATGTAGGTGAACCTGGGCAGTTGGTGACTGAGTGGATTAGGCAGGTGCCACTTGGTCCAGTTGGTCATTGGAGTCCAAGCTGCGTGAGGAGGGCAACTTGTGTGGTGGATAGCAGTGGCAGGCTGGTGAGGAACATCGAGATGTAAGTGGGGCGCATGGTGACCCAAAAAAGGATTTGGCACCTGAAAGTTGCAAGGAGGGTATCTGCACATGGGGGTAGCCTGCGGGGGGGATGCTGGAGCCCGAGGGGTCAGGTGGTGGCGCTGGGAGCTTGGTCTTGTACAGAGGGGAATAACAAAACAAGAAAAGTATTGAAGATAATAGGAGCCCAGTTTCTCAGCACTCTAGAAGGGATTTATAAATATGGCAAGAGAAAAAAAACTAGAAAAAATTCTAGATGGAAGTGCGCATGTGTGTGAGGGGGTGCACACACTTGCACGTGTACCTACACATATGTATTCTTCAACTTTGGCCACGGCGAAGCCCTAAGGGCAGTGACACTCCAGTAGCCATGTGCATACCTAGTACCCCAATTTTGGTTTCTAAATAACTTTCCCGCTGAAAAGAAGCAGGGCTTCCTAGAGGGAAAGTGCCAAATGAGCCTGGAATATTTGGCTGGGGCAGATATAAGGAAATGTTCCAAGAACGATGAAGAATATTGAAAGGACACAGTAACAAGCTTGAAGTGACTCTTGCTGACCAAATCTAAACATTAAAATATGTGCGACAGTAATGAATTATAATCAGTTCAACAAAAATAGGAAAATGAGCTTATATTTATATAATCAAATAAATAGGCCTCATCCTACCAGTTTCTTAGAAATCAGTCTCCATCTGTGTGAGCATGCCCACTCCTATTTTTCCCGGGGTGCTAGAACCATACAGAGTGGAAAGCCTGAGTGTGCGTGAGCTGGGGGAGGGGGGAGGCATCTGCTCACGGGCACAGCTCTGAACACAGGTTACTGTTGAGATGTCCAGTGGCCAGACTCACATGCCTTGCTCAGATCTCACCGATTTCAGCCTCTTCCATGCCATGCTAGACACGTGGGAATATTTGTGTGGCTGCTTCTGGTCTCATCTCCTTGGAAGTATCCAGCAGCTCTTCCGAATCTAGGGACTGATGCCTTCCTGTGAGGTTGCCAGGCAAGCGGGGTGCAAGTTACTATCTCTAGACCCCCTAGATGCCCTCTTCTCTTCTCCCACCCCCAACCTCAAAGAGAGTCTCACTTCTAGAAGGCAGAAAAGCTTTCTCTCTTCAGAATTCCTGATGCAAATTCTTTTCTAAGCTCTACCCTTCTCCTCACTCTGGGAATCGCATTCGTGAACAAAATTCAGGAAGACCCAAGCTATCTCTTTTCACTTTGCTACTCCCCTCCCCACGAGGCCAGGGTGATGTGCTTTAGTGGGAGTGTGATAAAAAGGATAATATCAGAGAGAAACATTTAAAAAGAAAGAAAGAAAAGAAAAGAACATATCCTACCACAGAAAGAAGGGGGAAAGCCAGGAAAAGAATTGACCTATTCTCATCTCCCTTTGTTTTTTTGTTTTTGTTTTTGTTTTTTGAGAGAGAGAGAGGGAGCATGTGATGGGGGGTGGGCAGAGGGAGAGGGAGAGAGAGAATCGTAAGCAGGCTCCATGCCCAACCCAGAGCCCGAGGCAGGGCTTGATCTCAAGACACTGAGATCATGACAGGAGCTAAAAATCAAGAGTCAGACGCTTAACTGACTGAGCCACCCAGGCATCTCTAGTCTTCTTATTCTGAAGCAACTTTGGTACACAGTGAAAGCACTAGGTTTCGTAAGAACCTGCAGGAGACATTGGTTTTACTCTCAAAGTGTTTTGTTTTCCCCCCACTCCATCACCACCACCACCAGGGACTAAGATGGAAAATCTAGAAAAGGAGAGGATTTTTTCTTACATAGGCAGAAGGCAGGACCACGTGTTTGCAATCCGAAACGTGGCTTTCTAGGAAATCACTGGGACGAGGCTGAGGCAATAATGTCATCCAGAGATTGGAGCCCCCAGAGGACTAGCAACATTTACAGGGTTTCATTGCAAAGGTCATAGCCCCTGCAGCACCTGAACTTCACCAAGTAGACACTCCATTTTATTTTGTCCACATTAGCACAGTTTTTCAGGCAGCCCATGAAGGTTAACCACAGAGTCCCATCTTCTGCAGGAGGAAGAAGAGACAGATTAGCAAATAGGCTTCGGCAAAGAAACTTCTTTCCAGCCCCTACCAGCCGACAAGAACAACTTTGTGTGTAGTTCAAGTCTCTGTTATTCAAACATGCAGAACTGCAAGATGTTGCACGTTGAGGCTTCCGGGAAGGAAAGCAGTGGCAGAATAGTTTGCAAAAGTTCTTGGGGGTGGGGAGGTGATAACAGAAGCAACGGAGGATTTCCAAAGCTGAACGTTTTCAATGGAGAATCTTAACACTGGTTTAAGTCAGGGTTATAAATGCCAAGGGTTCGCTTAGCACAAACCGTAGAAGAACCAAGAGGGCCATTTAACCCGTGTCTATTGCTCACATTGGCCCCTCTATCTCCACAGTTTAAAACCACCCCCATGGAGGTCCAGGCATGGACAGACAAGGATCTGCTCTCCCCACTCCAACAAGCACCTGCTCTCCACTGACCATATTGTGCCTCCCCTCTTCCTCTCCACCCAGTCTCCCTGCTTTCTGCAGGCTTCTCAAAATACTGGTACCGTAGCTATAGATCCCCACCCCTCGGTGACCACCTCCATCCATTTTTCTTTTCTTTCTTTTTTTTTTTTTTTAAAGATTTTTATTTATTTATTTGAGAGAGAATGAGAGAAAGCACATGAGAGGGGGGAGGGTCAGAGGGAGAAGCAGACTCCCTGCTGAGCAGGGAGCCCGATGCGGGACTCGATCCTGGGACTCCAGGATCATGACCTGAGCCGAACGAAGGCAGTCGCTTAACCAACTGAGCCACCCAGGCGCCCAACCTCCATCCATTTTTCATGATGGTCTCTGACAGGGGTAGAGAGAGATCAGGCATCCCGGGGCTGGGGCTGCCTGGGGCAAAATACGGTCCCTGCTTTTTCCTACGGCTCCTACGGCCGGTCAGCTTCCCCCACCCCCGTCCCCCAACTTACTCTTGAAAATCCTCCCAGTCGTGCAACCCTCATCTTCTGTAGCAGTGCATATTCCTCTGCCTCTGGAACACCTCTCTCCTGGAAACTGCAAGTGGCACATCCTACACTGAATGATTTCTGTCATTGGGGCCGGGAAACCAGGAATAGAAATGAGAGGCGATCTCCCGCTGCCACGAGAAGATCCGCCTCCCCTTTGAGATCGGAAGTCGGCCTGGAGTCCGGAAGGCTTGCCCAGAGGCCCGTGAAGTGTGGGCATCCGCCTCTATGAAGAGAGGCTAAGCCAGGAGAGGGGCGGGAGTTTATGGTCTCGGGAGATTGGGCTGGGAAAAATGGGAGGGGAAATAAAGGGGGCAGGGCAAGGCAAAGAACGAACTTAAGGCGGAGGTAATCAGGTCCTCTTCATACTCACTGAAGTAGTGGTTAGCATCAACAAATATTTCATGGACTGTGCCGGCAAGAAAAAACAAAACCAAATCTGCAATTTCGTCCGAGATTCAGCCCTGCGCGGGGCCCCTGCGAGGCTTGCCGCACACGGGCTCCGTCCTGCGCGGTTCACCTGGGGCCACGCTAGGCTCTTTCTGTCCCTCCAAAGCCGTGGCACCTGCCTCCTGGCATCTTCCTTTCAATTCCCTTCACCTCCGTGGGGACTCGCGGATACCCTACCCGCCCCTACAGCACAGACCACAGGAGAAAGACGAACGCAAGGTCTATCTCTGGCTTCCTTTCAACACCCAATGCCCGCTCTGCCTGGCTCATCTCCTCCCTCCTCCCGTCTTCCCCCTCCCACGCCATGATCTATTTCTACTCACTTGAGTGTTCGCTGTCAGACAGTGACCCAGACAGTACTGTTGGGGAAAGAGATACGTGCTCAGCAGACCTCATTTTACAAACCCCGCCTCACAACTTCTATGAAAATCTCAATCCCTTTATAATCCACTTATTTTCTCCTCTAAGGGGGAGACTAAGCCTCTGATGAAGGGATGTGATGCATTGGAGGTGAAAGGCATGGGATTAGAACGTTCATGAGGCTCCCATAAGAGCCCCTCCGTCATGGGAGCTCTGACCCATTCCCCTATCCTGGACACACCTCACCAACCGTCAAGGCTAGGGACTCACTTCTAAGGCAGCTGAGCAGCAGGGGGAGTCCCAAAAGCAAGGGCTTGTCCATTTTGAAAAGAAAAAGGAGCAGGTTAGGGCAGGAAGCTGCCAGCTGCCTATTTATACCTCTGCCAGTCTGGGCTTCCCCAAGAAGGGTTAGGGGTGGGGACACTGCAGGAACGCTGGAAAGGCGTACTCCACTCCCAGGGAAACCAGTGACTCTGTAGTTTCTCTTTTTGGAGAACTGGGGAGAAAAGGGACCCACGAGGTAAGTCCTGGACCTGATTTATTCCAGTCTGACCACCCAGGATGCCATGTTTTGTGGGTTTTTTTTTTTTTTTTCATAAAACCACACTGTGGGAGAAAACGAGGATAAGTCAGAGCTAGGTGGGTAGGATTCAGAGTCATCTATGCCAAGGTGCTCGTTAGAGCTGAGTCCATGAGCACGAATCATGGCAACACAGAAAGGGTGCCGAGCATAGACCCTTAAAAAGGCATACTTGTGGGGAGTGGAGAAGAGAGGTGGAAGGTTAGACTCAGGGACACTGACCGAGGATTCTCAGGAGGGGCCAGTTTCACACCCAGTCACTCTAGAACAAAGCAGACCCTGACACTGAGAGCTGAGGAGGAAGCTGCTTCCCATTCTTGGGAGTTTCCCAGAGGTTGAGACAGATTTTGTTAGGGGACAGAGGTCTGAGATTCCCCCTGGAGTGAGGGGAGCTGGTCCTTCCCACTTTGTGTCAGGCCAGGTATTAGGGGCAGGGGTTACCTCAACTCTGAGAAGCGCTAGGTATTCAGTCAGAGAGCTGGCTGGAGGTACAATTCCCATGGAAGGGATTGAGCTGGTGGGTTCTAGGAACAACCGCACCTAGTGTCTCGTTCTAAGTTTTCTGGTAGTTTCCTTCTGTTATTCCTATACCTTTAACAGGTAGGAGCCTCATCTCTGCTGTCATCGCAAGGAACTGAGGGGAATGACTGTGCCTGTGCTTAGGGCAAAGCAATAGAGGGAGAGAAACAGCAACCGGAAGGAAGCAGATTGCAATGGGGCACAATTTAGGGCTACAGAAGCAAAGTGGGATCTTGGTCTAAGCCGGATGTTGGCTGAAGATGTAGGGGACAAGAGTGATGTGTGGAGGAGATTTTCTCCATGGTATATCAGAGGTTATAACTAGTTAACTGCTTACCCAGGGCACCTAGGACCCTGGTCAAGCTTTGAAGTGAGACCATTGAGTACTTATGTGTTCCTTACACACACACACAGACACACACAAATGACATCACTGATTTTTGTGTTCTGCATATTTACGAACAGATCTCTCCCTTTCCCTCCTCCCATTGCCCTGGAATTTAGCATCTTCTCTTCCATCTTTACATTCCTTTCTCTGATCTTTTGAGCTCTCCCTTCTTTACCTCCTAGGAATTCCATCTTTCATTGTTTGGCTAATGGTAGCCCACAAGAAAGGAAGAAATGCTCTCTTCCTCCGCCTCATCAGAAACTGTCTCTTCCCCTGATGACACTCCTGTGCTACGATTATACCACTTTTCCTAAAGCAGAATTTTCCTCTCCCAGCCTTAGTGATCCACCTGGATTCCTAGCTTACAGTTGAACCCTATTTTATTAACTTACTTTTCTCCGAAAGTCTCCTCAAATTCATATTTCCAGCCTGAGTAGCCCATAATACCTGATTTTCTTACTGGGCCCCCTCTTCCTTTTTTCAGTGCCCCCAACTCTCTTCTTATCCTCCTAAGGCAGCCCACATAATTCATTTTATGTCATATATTTCAGACCTATGACTTCACAGTATTCAGGAATGAATCCCTTTTGCTGATTGCCCTGAAATTTACGTAAGTCGGTCACAATCCCTTTGTTCATGATGCTCTCTCTTCTCACCACCACAGAGTTCTGGGGGTCCAGTCGTTAGTCCAGAAGAGTGTCCCAACTACTCAACTCTGAGAGTGACTAGGTAGGTGGCCAATTGTGTCTTTGTGTGTATAATTAGAAGCTGTTTCGATTATGTACTAGCATTTTTGGTTTGCATCTCCAATGATGCCATGTAAGACAGTAAAAACAAAATGTTTTTTTGAATGGAAATTCACTTTCCAATTCTAAGGTATCATTATTTTTATTTTTTTAAGATTTATTTATTTAGAGAGAGAGAGCCTGTGCGTGCATAGCAGGGGGAGGGGCGGAGGCCGAGGGAGAGAGAGAATCCTCAAGCAGACTCCCCACTGAGCACAGAGCCCGATGCAGGGCTCCATCCCAGGACCCTGAGATCACGACCTGGGCAGAAATCAAGAATCAGAAGCTTAACCGACTGAGCCACCCAGGCACCACAAGTTAACATTATTTTTAAAAGAAACAGATCTAGGGCGCCTGGGTGGCTCAGTCGGTTAAGCAACTGCCTTCAGCTCAGGTCGTGATCCTGGAGTCCCAGGATCGAGTCCCGCATCGGGCTCCCTGCTCGGCGGGGAGTCTGCTTCTCCCTCTCCCTGCCACTTGCCTGCTTGTGCTATCTCTCTGTCAAATAAATAAATAAATAAAATCTTTAAAAAAAAAAAAAAGAAACAGATTTACTCTGCATGGGAAATACAGCAAAATATCCAGAAAATCATTGGTAATTAAGATATTTTCACATAATGACCTTTGTGAACAGGTTCATGGGGCTGGAGGTGAATACCACTGGGATCTGAGGAAGGAGACGTCCGCTGAGGCAGATCCCACATACGAGGAGTCTCAACTCCAATTATTGTTCGGAGCAGCACCAGTGGCTGTAGGCTCCTGGGCTCTTCCCAGCACCCACAGGACTTGTTCCGGTGATCTAGCAGGGACAGAACAGTTTCTTCTAAATCAGGGTTTGGGAAAATGGTCCGATCAGAACAGCCTGTCTCTTTTCCCTCAGGCCAGTAACCAACACAGCCTTGGGTAACTGAGACGAGATGAAATCAGAGAAGTTCTACCCTATGGAGGGATGTGAAAACAGGTACTTTTCAGACAATATGAGCAGGTCCAAGAAAGAACATAAAAGGAGTGTATCTGGGGAGCCTTAGGTGTGTATTCTTTCCTATCATGAGACTCACAATCCCCAGGGATTTCCTGGGACTCTCAGAATTGTTCAATATGTCCACAGTTCCATAGATGGTTCCCTCCTATGATTCTGAGGACCAGAGAAGAGAGCGTGGACATTGACGTGACTAGGGAGGTAAGCCTAAGATTCAAGAGTGCAGAAGTAATCAATCATCTACTCATTGTTCCTCTTATGGCTTACAGCTCAAAAAAAATCTCCTCTACTTTCAATACACTGGTATCAATGAACCTAGCTCTCATGAGGAGAACTCACTCAAAGGGTGACCTCCGCTGAGGAGAAATTAGGGAATCCTCTTGTGCTTTCCATGGGAAAGTCGCCAGAACACAAAGGCCATGCTCAGAGATCTCTTTGCAAAACCTCAGACACTCCCATGGTGGCACATAGCTCTCTATATTGCTCGGTTTTCGATGTACTATTTAAATGAATCCCTTCAGATTACAAAAATAATCTCTCTGTGTTCAGAGACTGTCCCTGACCAGTTGACCAAAGCAGATTTCCCCCTATTTCCTGTGTGTGTGTGTGTGTGTGTGTGTATGTGAGAGAGAGAGTGTGTGTAGAGTGGAGTCTTTATATTTTATACTGATGAAAAATAATACACATGCAAAAAAGAGTAGAAAACATAAGTGCATATCTTAAATCATTGACCATGAACCAGGTCATGAAATTTAATATTGCCAAAACCACAGAAAATTCCCCACACCAAGTGCTCCTTCCTAACTACATTCTCCTATTTCCTCATCTAGTGGGAAACATCCTTTCTTTTATGGAACTTAATTTAACCATTGTTTGATTTTATAGTTTTACCACACTATATTTTTTTAAAGATTTTATTTATTTATTTGATAGAGAGAGAGTGAGAGAGAGAGCATGAGCAGGGGGACAGAGGGAGAGGGAGGAGGAGGATCCCCACTGAGCAGGGAGCCCAATGCGGGGCTCGATCCCAGGACCCTAGTATCATGACCTGAGCCAAAGGCAGACACTTAACTGACTGAGCCACGCAGGCGCCCCACCACACTATATTTTTGCTTGTTTTTGAAGACTGATATAAATGGAATCAAACGGTTTGCATCCTAGGAATTATTCATGTTTTTGTATGAAGCCTCACGTTTTTTCTATGTCATATTCCATTGTGTGAATTTTAGGGCTGAGAACTTTTCAGTACCAATGGAAGTCATCAGCTCAGAGATTCAATAAGCCTGAAAAAAATCCTAAGCAAGAAAAAATTTCAAATCCAGCATTACAGTGAAATTTCAGAGAGTCCAAGAAAGTGATAAAATGTTATAAGTAATCAGAAGACAAAAAACATAATACCTGCAAAAGAGTGTTGACTGGCAGCTGAATTCTCAGTCAGAACAACGGAAACTAGAAATTAGTGGGATGATACCTTCAATATGCTGGAAACAGAGGACTGCCAGCATAGAATTCTATATCCAGAGGAAAACATTCTTCAGGAATAAAGTGAAATAAAGACATTGTTAGGTAATAGTAATGCCATCAACAAATCTGCACTTGGAGGGGCGCCTGGGTGGCTCAGTTGGTCAAGTAGCTGCCTTTGGCTCAGGTCATGATCTCAGGGTCCCGGAACCGAGCCCCACATCGGGCTTCCTACTTAGTGGGGAGTCTGCTTCTCCCTCTGCCCCACCCCTCCACTCATGCTCTCTCTCTGGCTCTCTCTCAAATAAATAAATAAAATCTTTTTTTAAAAAATCTGCACTTAGAGAAATGGACCTAGAGGGTATTACACTAAGTGAAATAAGTCAGGCAAAGAAAGACAAATATCATATGATTTCTCTCATATATGGAATCTAAAAAAAGAAAGAAAGAAAGAAAGAAAGAAAGAAAGAAAGAAAAAGAAAGAAAGAAAGAAAAAGAAAGAAAGAAAGAAAGAAAGAAAGAAAGAAAGAAAGAAAGAAAGAAAGAAAGAAAGAAAGAAAAAGAAAAAACAAAAAGCAGAATAAGACCTATAAATACAGAAAACAAACTG